AATTTGCAACCTAATTTCATGATTTAGATCGTCTATGAATGATTTTGTACTCGGTACGATTCGCAGTAATTATTTACAATGTGATATTTAGGATTAACGTACGATAAGGTCGATCACGAGAACGTCACAACAAGACAGAACTGATGCTTTATTCGTTTTGAGAATGCATCAGAAATTTATTATTACATATTCACATTGCTATTCATATTGTTGTTTTTCTTCTCGTCCGCTTTCAAAAGTTGATTGCTGCGAACGATGAAAGGCGAGCATTCTTGTTTGCACTGGAAGCCGCTCTGGCTTCTGTTCATTGTGTTAGCGGTTGTTGGCACTGATGCATCAGAGGTGCAACGTGAATTTCGAGTTTCCGAGCTGGCTCCGGTCGGTCATATTATCGGTTACATAAGTGGATCAGCTTTAATTGGTCTGAAAGCACACTATTACATCGTTTATCCGGATAGTTCAGGACAAGTGGAGAATGTGAGTCCATTTCGAATACTCCGCCGTCTAAAATTCATTACTGCCTCATCTTTCAGCACGTCTAAGTTGATCAACTGGCTGGGTCATTAGATCTTGCAATGACTGAGATGAAAAGTCTCGTTTGCTTGACGTTCTTGAATGTGATTGCACATCCGAATGATTTGTCAGTGTCAAATGACCGCTCAATCATAAACAACAGCACAACTATTATACACGAATTCGGAACTTACAGTTAAATCATAAGAGCGCCGANTCAATCATAAACAACAGCACAACTATTATACACGAATTCGGAACTTACAGTTAAATCATAAGAGCGCCGAAAATGCCTATGTGAAACGACACATAATCATAAGTCGAAATACATAATGAAATTGCAATTCGTAATCATAGTTCTCTGAGACAGAAGTTATAACTTCTTAACGAAGGCAGATGAACTGAGAACAGAGAGGTTGTCTTTGAGTGGTTGACTGAAATTGTGGTGCATTTCAAATTGACTGCGCGCATTCGCTTTTTTTGGTTTGTGTTGGTGGAAAGTGAACCAACCTCGACAACATCTTCCATCTAATGACACAACAATAATGGACAACATTTCATGTCGCATCAAAGCTTCTTTGAATTCCTTATGGTTTCCACCTTAAATTCACATCAAACAGCATTTCACTTTTATGGTGTGTAGATTCGGAGTTCCCTCCTCAGAACACTTCATCTAGAAATGTTTCACAAATGCATTTCTGAATGCGATCTCCTTAAAGCAACTTCAATAATGATTAAAATGTGTAGGGCATTTTATGAAGTCCGCTTGTTTCGATTATCTACTGAAATTGCATTCCAGTGCAGTGGAACAT